AAAAATTTAAACACATGCTTTTCTGTAAGTGCATAACTAAATAGCATTGTTGATATTTGTAATTGTTTTGCTGGATCAAGAGAAAATATAAAGGAGACATAGGGAAAAGTTAGTTTTTAAAGGAATTCTTGTCTGAGAATCGTCTTATATAGCTATACACTTTTTTAAAAGTTTCAACTGAAATAGCAAGATAATAACGTTCAGGGGATTTTCAGGAAAAAAAACGAATAATCCTGGGGGACCAGATACTAAGCTAGTATAAACTGACAGCTCCATTAACTCCACATTAAGAACATGACCCATACTCTGCAGCTCTTGAGTAATCTTGGGTCCAGTTTCAGTTAGCCCAGTGTGATTTCAGCAGTCATAGAAGAACTTTTTAAGTTGTTGGGAGTTCAGATAGGAAAAGAACAGCCACAACCTTAAAAATACGCATACCATTAAATATCCTACTTGTTCCTATATTGTAGAAATCTCATTCAGGCCACAGAAGATACTGAAAATAATTAGTCTGAATCAAGTTACGTAAAAAAATGCAAAACAACATGGGACTCGTAGAAGAAATGAGTAAACTAATAAGCAGAAAAAAGTAATTTCAGGCATATGAAATTTTACTGTGAATTTTTTATCCACCATCATATACTATTCCTAAAAGATCTGGCCTGTGATAAAAGTGCTCAGTGCACCCTGACTGCCCCTTTAGCCTTTCATTTCCATCACGGGGTGGTGAAAAATGTTTCCCGACTGATAACACACGCGCAGTTGTAATTAGTTAGCTGTGCACCTCAAAGAAATGTACTTTTCCATAGATAAAAAAATGCTAGAATTGCTACTTTTCCCAGTCACTGTAAATATAAATAATATTTCAGAGATGTACTCATGTCTTTACTAGACGTTATAAATATCTCTGTAAAATACAGTAAATTCTGTTATGCTGACTGACTAAAAATATGGTTTCTGTTCATGCAGTTGTGCCATTCTACATTTTCTTTTAAAAGAACTCTTTCAATAACTTAAAATTACACATTATTCTGTTATAAAAGTGTTCCCATTATATAACTGGGTTTGTTGTCAAATGAGTCTATATCTTGCAATTGCTGAAAGTTTCTGTAACTCCTCATGCTACATTCACCCTGTTAATTTTAATTGTTCTTTCTCTTAACAAGGTACAAACCTGCTAAAGAAATATCTTTCCACATTGTTACTTGAAAATGACAGTTCATGTGAAAAGTCTCATCTCACAGGGGTTTTTAATGCATTAAAAAAGCAATAAAAAGCTAAAAATAGAAATGCATTTTCAGCACTTTCAAGGATGCCTGTATTGACATGCTCAATAAACCTCTTTTTTGTCTGAATTTGGCAACAGGGGCTTCTCATACCTATGCTACTCCATAGCTAAAATCAATAAAATTAATTCTGTTTAGGTTTACAGTTTTAAGGCAAATGTTCCTTGTTGTTGCATTTCATTAGCAGTATTTAGCCAAAGAGAAGACACTACAAAGATAATTTCAAAAACTAAAGCCAAATGCTTCATAATTTGTCTTTTATTAATTTAGAGCATTCAAAATATAAAAATAAAATGCTTTAAACATACTGTATATACATATATAGCCTTCAGTTTTACATCCTTTCCAACATGATTTTTTCATTTAATAGCTCAGCCTGATCTTTGATAAAATGAGAACGATTAGAAAACAGAAAACATCATGAGCTTGGAAAACTAACCTATGAGCATGCCAGCCCAATCCCCCATTACTCCTGGTGTAATGTGGGCTGTGATTCAGTTCTACACCAAAGGACCACGCAAACACAGTTTGACTGTCATAGAAGGGGGTATTATTAGGCTTCACTGATTTCTTTGAAAACATTTGACACTCTGGGAATGAAGTGTAGACTTTTCAGATTAAAAACTTAAATTCTGCACCCACATATACTGCATATTTCCCAAATGCATCCATTGACCTCTGTGGGTTCACTCCAAATTTATACCCTTGTATTTGACAACAGTATTTAACCCTTGTTTATTATTTTTTGAAAAACAACTCCCTTTTTCTCTTTAATTTAATGTAAAGTGGCTTAAAGTTGTGTGGCTAGTAAGCTGATATGTTGCAGTTTTCAGTTTACCCATGAGTATAAGCAAGGAAAAAATTCCTTGTGCAAAGAAGTATTCTGCATCATAGGTTTATATTTTTTAAAAGATTTATGAAAATTCACGCAAAAATAAACTGTCACAGGCAGTTCACAAAGAGCCAAGGTCAGGTACTTTTGCTCACTCTGAGCAACACTTTCTGCACACAGCCCCACTGACTTCCCATTCAGGGGTAAGGTGTCATGTACAGCAGGCAGATGCACAGAAAGCTGTACCTAAACAAACACTAAACAAAATTGTTTATGATGATGTATTCCCATGTGAGGAATAATTAACATCATGTCCTGTCCTTGCTGTATATATAACCCTGATTTAGCTGAAGAGAAGATAGTGCAAACAACTCATACAAGCTAACGATCTGTCTCTCTCTCCCAAAACACACTAATATCCCATGAGAATGTCAGGAAAGACAACTTTTATTCTGGAAATGACCTCATGTAACTCAGAAAAATTTGGAAAATTTTTAATGCAGGCACACTTTGTTACAGACTTGTGAATTCTTGAAGTTTAAAAAAGCTGTGCTATGGAAGGCTTCTTTTTCTTTGTTTTTTTTTTTCCCTTTGAAGTCCCTTTTTTAATTTGCATGGATAACGATAGGAAGACTTACCCAATAATTCTATAATCCAGTAAAACAACAAGGTTGCCAACTTAATCACTTATTTATTCATGATCTTTTTCTTATCTTCTTTTTTTCCCTGTTTTATTTTTAGTGAAGAGCTTGTCTGGAATTAAACCAATGTCTTTCTCACGGTGTTAAGGCTCATCTTATTTCTGCTATAATGGCATAAAGGCAGAATAACACCCATCATGTCACTAAGAGTGTGGCAGAGTGGAAATGCACTTGTGTGCATATTGCCTTTAGTGGTTTCAGAGAAACATTCTTGAAAAAGCGTTCGGCTGAATAACAAGGGTTTCAGCATCTCATTAAAGCTAAACAGCTGTTGAATGCCTTTGAGGCTGAAGAACATGAATGAGCATCTAAGATCAGATTTTCTTTCCTTGGGGCCAGAATACAATACCTGTGTTCTTTATAGAAATGCAGTTCCATTAACTATTTTTTTAATGCAAAAAGAAAAGGTGACAGCAGTCAGCTGAGTCTATCTATATTTTAGTGGACATACTGTGTATGACATAAGTACTGGTTACTAAGATTGTTATGAAAATTTACGCACAGCTATCTTGGTGATGAAAGCTGGAAATCCACAGAGGACTGCATTTTAAGAGGGGACTGTATTTTACTTTCCCACTGAATTAAGGTTTAACGTGGTTTGCAGATAGAACAATATATGAAGAATGATATTTTCTCCTTTGCTTTAACTATGTCTAGTGTAATTTCAGTTATTGAAAAATATTTATAAAAATACACAATATATTAATATTCTGTGAAGAATGAAATGTCACACCAGGCTTTTTTTTTTCCACATTCATATTCTGAACATACCTACAGCATGGGGAAAGCATAATAATAGTCAGAACTTTATTATTGCCCAAGGAAAACAAGTAAATTTTCAAAGATCAGAACGTTTGCTCTCTTGAGATTAAAGTTTAAAGCATAATAACTGGCACAGAGTACTTGCCACTGGATACAGAAATGTAGAAAGGGAATTTGCTAATATTAAATAATATCTGTGTTTGTAGCACCACCACCAGTATACCTATAAGGGAAAAAAATGCTTCAGAACAACTATGTAAACTTTACCAAGAGCCATATTTTACATTCATTAAAGCAGAAATTAAAGACAACTTCCCCTTTAAAAAATTACAACGTATTCTTGGGGCCGAAAAAGCTGAACACAAGTGAGCTGAGAATTACGGTACAATTCGGTTTCTCAGTGGGTTTGTTGACTAACATGGCTTTGTATGCATCTCTGCACAGGTTGCACGCTAACAGCATTTTTCTCTACAGCCTTCAGTTTCGCTCAGGTATTTTCCACCCATTTCTGTTTGTACTCTTCACCTGAATATTGTGTTTCGTGAAGTTGGGAGGCTGGGTATAGCTGTGGAGAGTTACTTAGCTGGATTTCTGCCTTTGCGTCTTCTGACAAAGAGATAACTATTTCATGAGATGTTGAAGCCTCCACTGTAGGCATAAAAACATGATGAAAAAATCCTACCTAAGCCTCATCACCTGAGGCTATCACCTCACCCTGCAAAGACACAGAAAATAGCTAGAAATCACCTTTTTAACTGAAAGAAAGAGAGAAAGAGAGAAAGAGAGAGGCAGAGAGAAAGAGAAATGTAGTGGAAGGTGAAAACAAATGCTGTCAAAAGCCCATATTTACAAATCACAAAGTTATTACTACTGCCTGATGATGGCGATGTGACAGAAGAATCTGAGAGCCACCTACTGCCTTAGTTCTATATTTGATTACCAAAACCCGACAAAACAACCAAAAATGACCTCTTAATAACAGTGCATTGTATAATCTCATCAACAAAAGGGTTGTTCTCTAGGCAATCAGCAAACACCTCCCATTTATGCACCTTTGCTGATTCAAGGCATAGCAGAATTTTCTGTGGTGATTTTTCTTTATTGATTTTTACACAAATCTAAATAACAATTGCACATTTAGAAAGTTTGTGGTGATTAAGAATAAATATCTGTGGTTTGACCAGGAGAGAGTGGGACAAGGCTCCATGAGCCCTTTGAGGGACACAAGGTCTTTAAGAGCGCAACACCACACTTCTCTCACTTTCTGATGTTGTCTTCAGCTTTTGCTATCCCAAAAGTCTTACAGGAGACAAGTCATGAGGAGAAATGCCAGGTATCACCAGCACAAAGAGAACAGTCTGTGAGCTAGGCTCAGGGGATGACAAGCCAGCAAGCTCATTGTTGTCCTGGACTCCTGCATCAGAGAGCAGAGGCTGTGACAGAGTGGCTCCCCTCCCTGGCTGTCTGCATGCCCTTGAACGCCAGCGAGGCAGGGATATCGCAACTGTGAGGGGACAACGGGGTGCCTCCAGCGTGCTGCCAGCCATGGGTTGCCATATAGCTAGATGGAGTGGCGCTGTACGTCATGTAAGGTGACACTTGGGCTGGTGTGGCATAGGGAGGCATGGCTGGTGCCGACACAAAACTGCTGACAGCTGGGAGGCCATTGGGTGCCTGAAAGGAGACAGAAGAGAAAAACATTTCTGAGAGAGTAAGACACATCAGATTTGCCCTCAGATGCTTCTGGGGCTTTGTACAAAAACTAGGGTGAGTAGGGACACTCAGAGAGCAACCCATAACCATTCCCCTGAATTTCAGGGGCTCAGTGGCCCCTTCTGCTTTTAAGACCAGATACCGCACTGCAGTCAGCACTTCACACTGCTCCCAGTAACCTGTCTCAGACAAGGACCAGCAGCAGATGTTTAAGGAACATACACCGAGAGCAGGGCAGGAACTGCTGAGACCCTTGTATGCCTGCCTCTCTTCCCGCAAGCTGTTGTTCACAGACTCCTAAAAGTCTATGGTTGCATCTAATCATTATATTTGAGAGTTACTGCTGGAGGGATTTGTGATGAGTTTCTCCTCTCTCTCTCACTAAGCACCTTAATCCATTTGGCAATGAGTCCCATGGGTTAGGGTAGGTGGACTGCAATATTTACCCACTTTTCCCAAATTTTGCACAGGTAATTTTTGCCACTGTTGCAGGCCCTGTTGGTTAGTGCAGTGGCAGTTTAAGCTGAGTATGCAGTGACCAGAGACATACCAGCAGAAGAAGAAACTAATCCATCCTAGTACCTCATCCATCCTGGAACTGAAAGAGGGTGGGTTCAGCCCTGAGCTGCCCCAGGCAGGTGCAGGCACAGATCCCAAAGCAGCACTCCCTGGAGTGAAGAGGTGATCAGCAGCTGGGGGAAGTGGGTACATCTTAAACTCTTGGGTAGCTAACTGTTTGTTCAGAGCATGAGGCAGAACTATAATAGTAGTATTATTATTGATGATGTCTTAAAAATATATTTTATAGGTACTTGGAATAAAAACTTTGAAATGTTCTTTGCTCATAGCTCCTCCTGGTTTCAATAGGGCTTCTGTGCAAAAAACAATTGCGGGGCTGGGTCCTTTCCTGTAAGCTATTTTCCTAGGTCCTTCCTTAGGCTGGGCAGAAGGGTTTCTATTTAAATAGAGAAGGGAGAGTCCTTCAGTCAGCTACAGTAAGATTTCACAATTAATGACTCTTTATTTAACTAAAAAGTGTATGGTGGTTTATTTCACACCCTGTAAATGTTTCTTCAGCACAACAGGTACAAACAAAGATCATTTATCTTGCTTAAGTTTCAATTTGTTTAGTGTTTGTTTTAGGATTTGGGGTGGCATTTTTTCTCCGAAACGTTTCCTGTCTGAATATGAAAGAAGAGGTATTGAGTTAGCAAATCCTGTAGTTATCTGCCATTTTTAATCACCCGGTACAAGTGGACCTAACCTGAATAGTGCAAAGTTAAGAAATGAAACAGACTTTTGTGTCTGCTAAAACTTCACATGGTGTTAACATTTCGCTTGTTCAATTCCTGTCTGGATTGCACCTGCCTGAAAATTCCAGTATTTACCTTCATAAAGGGCATTGGCCTGTTTTCAGGATCATGAGTTTCCTAGTGAGGTAACTCAATGTAACCAATAAACTTTGCCAGTTCCGCTGGCTGGACTATCCTCTCATTGTCACATGGAAAACTAAGCACTAATTCTGCTGTACAGCAATCTAAAACAGCAGGAAACAGTGATGGGATCCCAGCCACAAGCCTCCAATAGGAATATTAATCAGTACAAAGCATAGACCTGCAGCAACAACATAATTGTCATTCGAAATCCATAAACACTTTGCTGAAGCTGAACTTGCCTTATCCTTTTGAAAATCCAAATATGTCATCTGACCTTCAACTCTAATTACATGTACCCTACTGTGTCTCAGAATTACGCTTTAACCTCAGCTCTAAATATCAGTGTTTGCAACAATACTAATTAATATAAACCTGAAAATAATTGCATTGTAAATCAGTACAATTCTTGAATCACATGGAAAATTACTTCATTGAATTCACTGGAAAGTAAAAAATGTGACAAGCCCTAAAAAGCTGCCAATCTCCAAGCTCACTGCCTCTTCCAATGTGTAAACATGAAACAAGAATGAGCACCTCTCTGGTTTTTTTTTAACAAGCACCAACAAAAAGCTTTGCACAGAGGCAATAGAGCCACTAAAGCCGGTTGTAACACTGGGATATCAAGAGCCACAACCAAACATATTCTGCACAGAGAAGTACAGAAACCCTGAAGGGGTGGGTACTGGAAGGAGAAAAGACATGGAGCAAGTCCCTGAAGCCTCATAGCCATTCAGACAGCACAAACCTCCAGCCTTGGAAACTCAGAAGAGGGTTTTTGGACTCTGAGAAACTGTCCTGTTCCTCAGGCTTTCCCACTGACAAGGAACCTAGTACCAAGCAGTGGACTCAAGGCTGTGTCTGGAAGCCCCATTTTAAGTAAGATTCCTCGCTATGAGTGGTCATGTCCCATGAACCCTTGATTGTGCTTTTGAAAAGATTCCTCCTAGGCTGCAAAGGATGCACATGTACCTCCAGTTTCCTGTGTTGTTACTGCTGCCCTCCACCATAGAAAAGGATGGGAAAAGCCAGAACTCTGCCACAGAGAAGAGAAAATGTTTCCCATATGCTGTACAGACTGCCATGCTGTAGGATGCTCTCCAAGCTCTAGGCACTTCCTCTTGGAGCTGCTCTTTAGAAAAGGCAAATGCTCTAACAGACTCTCATTTGAGGAAGAACACAACTGTTAAGTGCATCCTTCAAATCTGTGCATAGTGTTGCATTATGCTAAGTCAAAATACCACTTGATGTAATCACTTTGTCAAGCACCTCTCCCCATCCCACCACCACAGGCTAAGAGTATATGGGTAGAGAAATGCAAATTTTGATACTCAGGAAATTACTTCCTCCTGTATACAATGCTGTGTCCAGGAAAAAAAAAATATCCATGGAGGTGATGACTCTGTCTGTACATGTAAATAAAACAGACTAGGACAAAATCTTTGGCCCTGAAGATGAGCAGCACCATGCAACACTCATCCCCATAGCTAACCTCTCTTCTGCCAGAATTGGGGTGGCCTTATCCACACAGCCTGTCAGGCAGTCCCTGGACTGTTCCCTGATCAGCCTCACAATGGGGCGCTGTCTGGCTATGTGCTAGTGGACACAGACTAAGTCTGTGCCAGGCAATGTGCCGACAAGGCATCTCTTTGCTGGTCCACCAGTGTTCGAGCCCCTGTCCCAGCCTCCTGTAGCTCCTGCAGACAAGGCTGCCAGGACTTCCTCAGCAATCAGAAATGGATCATTTTGCATGATTTGAGGCAAATCTGAGCTCCTGAACAGCTCACAGTAATGCAGACATTATTGATAAATATTTTATCAACAGGCATTGTTGATAAATATTTAATCCAATCACACATGTTGATAAATATTTAATCCAATCACACATGTTCCATGACCTTATGGCACAAAGTAAAATAAAAGTCTCTGAACTATAATTATTGGAGAAGCCCAAGTTTTTTATTGAATTATACTGGAGGTGCTGCTTGGATATTTGTTGATAAAACATATGGGACTTGACTAAAGATTAGTGAGTTTTTGTAAAAGCTTAATTTAAAACAATACCTATCCTAATTTATAACAGCCAGAACAATTCTTTTACACACACACACTTATTCAAAATACAACTGTGATAACAGTTGGGTTTATAGCATCTGTTTAGAATGTGAGAAAGCTACTGAGGGTAGGATGTGGAGGCAGTTGTTTAGGGACCACCAGTTGCAACATGTCAGAGGCCAACAACACTGGAAAGCTGTTGTCGCTGCCTCACTGAATTGGTGAATCATTCTCATTTTTGTTCCACTGCTACAAAGCTTTACCACTCAAACCCATGATTCTATGGATGCCAATAGGTACTCTCAGCCAAGGAGGCGGCACTGGGATGGGTAGGAACTGGCCCAGCACAGAGCATGGTTCTGCTTCAGAGGAGGTTTGAGCCATACCCACAAAGCAGTCAAAGGCCTCCTCTGACCCAAATTAAAAGATGAGGGGATAGAGAAAACCTCATATTGTGTGATTTAAAACTATGCTACTCAATTAAAAAAAACAAAACAAAACAAAACAAAACAAAACCTCTGATTTTCATCCCTTTCATCTGTGAAGAACTTGACCCAATAGTTTTAACTGCAAGAGTTTTTACTTCTAAACAGCTTTAGATACAAAGTGTAGGTTATCAGAAGGGTTGAATCTGGTCTGTCAATCTGGCACTTTTTACAAACATGACATTCACTTAAAATAAATGGAGGGGATTAAGTTCCATGACCCTGTATATACTGGATGAATAACTCATCCTGTAGTATTTCAATCAGAGGAAATGAACACCAAAAGCTAAACATTCATAATTAGGAGTGCAAGAACCCCATGGTATTTATGGGTTTTTAAAACCGTTAAAACTTGCTTTAAGTGCAGAGGTTCTTGAACCTGGTTTTTAAGTTTTATAAATATTTTTTTTCTTCATTTAAACCTTCACTTTTCAGGGGAAATCTAATTTTTCAAAGCAAACAAACAAACGTGTAGCTCTAACTGAACAAGAACCTCTGCTGTGCAAGAGATAAGGGTTCCTGTCTGAAAGTGCTTACTCTAGGGCTTCCACAAAGATCAGAGAGAAACATTTGCTCTGAATTTCTGCTTCTATCAATGTTTTAAGGCAACTGATGGAATAAGTATTTCCAAATTTTAGGGCTGTGTTCGAAACCTAGAACACATGACCTCCCACCAATTCGCAAATTTGGTTAAACGTTCTCGCAAAAATACCAGTAAAACACCAGTGGTTGGGTCAGGATCATGAGCTGGGTCTGGTGCCTTTCTGAGGAGTTGCTGCTGATACATGCCAGTGACAGTGAAAGGAATATGCAGGCCAGAAATGAAAGCCATGATGGACATAGCACCTTGCTTTAGGTCACATAAAATGATGCTGCTGAAACAAGCAAACAGTACGAATTTCCATCAGTAAAGGAGCTGGTTCAGTAGCTTTAATGGATGAAATCCTTAGTTTTAGTCAGTTTAGATACAATACTAACTAGAGACCAT